TTAGGCAGTGCGCAGCGGGTGCCATGAGAGGTCGCGCCACATAACTCTTCAAATGTAGTGCTCGTCATTCAGAATTTGGATCCAGAGTTTCTCTGTGAAATTCTGGACCACAACTTCACCAAATCTTCTTATCCTCTCTCTCAGTTAATGATAAGAGCCACCGCTGAGGCTATTAATATTTACGAATTCATTCTTTATTTATTTACTTCTGAAATTCAAGAGAGATTTTGGTAATGTATCAAAAAAGTTTTGCAAATTGGTTCAAAGAAAACGCAGCTGAATATAGCGTATATTTATTTTTACATAAACATGAACAAACAAACGTGCCACAGGCCTTTTGAGGCTTCCAAACAGTCTTTTTGGTCAACTTCCATGCTGACCTGTCGTAAAAACGGTGCGTGAAACATGCGATTGATGCATAATTCTAGGCGTGACTTTCATAAATACGTTTGTATTCAGCCGCGGGATCTATTAACAGCCGCAGGTGCGTACGCTCAAATCTGGGCGGATCTCACACGTTCATAAATCCGACGTTGGATCTTGAGTATTTTGAATCTACACTCAAAATGCACACCTTTTTCTGCAGACGTTTCATAAATGAAGGCCAATCTGTGGTTTTCTGTGTTTGAATCCATTTTCATCGTCTTACTCCTTGATTCTTGAAGGAAAAAGTCTTTGACTTTGTGTAGAGTCAGAAAAAGGTTATTTTCTGTCTGGTGACTGAGCAAATAAGCTGACGCTCCTCATAAGAAACAATGTCCACGAAAAGATTCTTGAATAATGACAATGACATTTATTTTACAAACAAAAATGGTTTGTACAAAAAACTCAGCATGGGGCAGAAAAATCAAAATGAAACGCAGGTACAATACAATAAAATGTATTCTTGTATAGCCCTAAATCACAACAGAAGTCATCTCAGAGGACTTAACAAAACCATTGAAATCACCAACACAGGTCAGAGAATCAACAGTTAAAACACAAAAAGAATATTGAACACATGTTGAAAAATTTCCATACATGTTGTAGAATGTTAAAGTGTCCTGGATCATCACCACAGTCCTTCTAGTTGGACACTAACTTCCCAACAGACCCTCCTGCATCGGCAAGGAAAAACTCATAAAAAACCCAGTGGGGAAAAAAGTGAGAAACCTCGGGGAGACCCATAGTTTTGAGAAAGGGATCCGCTCCCACGGACGAACGGGCTATAGATCCAGGACCTAAGCTACAGGACGTGGACCAGCGGCCGTTGAACGTGGACAGGTCCGGTACAGGACTGAAGAACTCCCAGGCTGGTCGGGCAGGGCAGTCCGCAGGTGTAGATGGAGAAGGTCAGGTCCAGAGGTCCCGTCATCGTACCATGAAACAGACAATGGGGCAACGGGTGAATAGCAATGAATAAACAACAGTTAAAATCCTAATGATGCTAAACAGATAAAGTAGGAAGGAGGAGAGGATAGTGCTCAAGTACCATACTTCTCCCAGCAAACTGACTCCCTATGCAGCTTGACTGACAGTCTAAGATATTTAGCCTTCCCTGAGTCTTACCTTCCTAGCCAAATGCTAACTAAAGAGGACTGTTTTAGCCTAGCCTTGAACGTAGGGTTGAAGATGCAGCGGACCAAGTTCCATATACACAGACTCCAGACAAAACAACCTAACCAAATGCTAAGTTGAAAAAGAGTGTTTTAAGCCTGGCCTTAAATGTAGAGACAGTGTCTGCTTCCTCAACGTGCGTGGGGAGCTGATTCCACAGTAAAGGAGCTTGGTAGCTAAATGCTCTGCCGCCAGCAGTGCTTTTTGAACCCTTAGGGACATTAACATATCTTGAAGATAAGAGGGAGCCAAGCCATTTATGGCTTTGTATGCCAAGAGAAGAATTTTAACTTAATTCTGTACTCCACAGGAAGCCAGTGGAGTGAATTTAACACCTATGTGCTTCCTCCTTTTGGTGCCTGTTTAGATCCTTGCTGCTGTATTTTGAACAAGCTGGAAGCTCTTCAAAGAGGTATTAGGGCAATCAATAATTGAATAACGCTAATCTGCAAGGCATTCCAGTCAACGGAGATGGTTCTCGAGTGCGGGATTGTTGGGGTGCATTGTCTGAGCTGTCGTTGCGGTGCATGACTTTCACGGCACTGCTTGTACGCTGCTCGTTGGTCCTTTTCATTTGAGTGATGTGATTTCATTTCGAGGTTTCTCTTTTCAGCTTTGCAGGAATGTGGTGGCTTCAACCGTGGCCCGCTGCAACGGTGGCCTGCTACAACGCCACACTGGTGACGCGCTTCATTTCATCATTGTCCCGCTACGACGCTGCGCTTGTCCCACTACAACGGTGGCCCTTTACAACGCCACGACGGTGGTCCGCAGCTGTCCCGCTACGACGCCACGATCGTGGCCCGCTACAACGCCACAACGTGGCCCGCTATGTCGCCACGTTGGTGGCCTGCCACAACGCTAGCCTGCAAAGACTGCTGGAGCGCTACTCAGCGGGGCCTTGGAAACTCCCACCTAGCAACCAGGTCGTCTTACTCAGGCGTCATCCATTGGCTTTTGGTGCGCAGCGCTCACAGTTTGTATACACTCTCTGGCGGCTTGTGCTCATTTCCACATGCGCTGTCCGAGTGGCTATTGGCGATGCTCCTTCTCAATGTTCCCCAGCCCTAAACTCTTGTGGTCTCCCGGTGCGGCTCCCGCCGCAGGGCAAGTCTCCGGCCGCCGGGCTAGTCTTCCGCCGCCGGGCTAGTCTTCCGCTGCCGGGCTAGTCTCGCACCTCACCTTACCCAACGCACCCTGGCCCTCGTTCTGGCCGGGCCCTTGTGCGTTTGTTTTGGGGGTCCAGAGATCTCATAATCGAAAGTCAATCTTCCTGGGTAAGTGTCATTCACGAATCTCATTGTCGCCTTTTAGCCTCCCCAGGTGGAATCCATTTTGACCATCGGCGCTCTAACCGTTTGCAGTTCATCCATTAATCATCATTCTTCTTTCCCTCCGTACTGCTCACTCTCCGTCTCTGGACATCGAGATCGCGGGCGCTGCCGTCATTGCATCATCTCCATCTGCATTAAATTCATAGTCTAAATCCCTGACGATTTACACTCAGCTGCTTCCTCAAAAGAAGATCCTCAAAGGAGTCAATCCTCACTTCCAAAAACCATTGGGAGTGTGGATTGCACAGGAATGTGATGGCTTCAACGCTGGCCCGCTACGACGATGGCCCGCTAAGACGCCACACCGGTGGTGCGCTGCTGGAGTGCTACTCGGTGAGGCCTTCGAACCTCCCACGTAGCAACCAGGCCGGATGTCTTCCTCAAGCGTCACCCATTGGCTTTTGGTGCGCAGCGCTCACGATTTGTATACACTCTGTCTGGCGTCATGGGCCCTCTTCCACATGCACCGTCCAAGTGCCTATTGGCGATGCTCCTTCTCAATGTTCCCCAGAACTAAACTCTTGTGGTCTCCCGGTGCGGCTTCCCCCGCCGGTCTAGTCTCCCGCCGCAGGGCTAGTCTCGCACCTCACCTTACCCAACACCTCTCCAGGCGGAATCCATTGCGAACATCAGCGCTCTAACTGATAGCAGTTCATCCATCAGTTTTCTTTCCCTCTTCACTGCTCACTCTTCGTCTCTGGACATCAGGATTGTGCGCGCTGCCTTCACTGCATCATCTCCATTTGCATTAAATTCATGCTCTAAATCCATGATGAGTTACACTGTGCTACTTCCTCAAAGGAGTTAATCTTCACTCCCAAAAACCATCCCTTGACCGTCCCCTGGTCGGAAGCAGAGTTCAAATCGGTGCTCTCTTCATGCAACTTCTCTCTACTATCCATTCCAGATAGGAGCAGTCATGGGGGCCGCCGCCCTGGGTCATACTCCGTCCTCCCTGCAGCGGCCGAGCCGCCGGTCCTTTTCTGCCTTTGCGTCCCAGATCAGACCAGACTCCGCAAATATCCTATCAGCCCCTCTCGTCCTGGGTATGCATACATTTCCTGGTGGTGGCCTTCTCAGCCCTATTCATCTCTCCAGCAGCTGGGTCGCTGGTCCTCTACTGCCTTCACAACATACATCAAACCAGACGCCGCATCCATCCTGGCAGCCCAACTTCCCTTAAAGGGATAGGCCACCGTTTTTACATACTGACATATGTTCTTACCTTACCTTAGACTAGTTGATATGTACCTGTCTGGTCTTTGTCCGTGCGCTCTGTCATGCAAACGGAGCACAAACGCAGCACATACTTTATAGTTCCAAATCAGCTCCAGTTAGAAGCTACCAAACTCTTCCACGTGTTCCCTATTTAAATACAGTTACGTGACGTGATACACTACAAAGTATAGTAACACAGAAATGCAACATGTCAATTTTCTCAGCAGATAAAAAGGGGTACTATAGTAATATTATAATACAAGGAGCACTACGTCCGCGCACTAACTCCTAAAGACTTCTCTCCCGCTCACTTCCGTCAATAGAAGCAGCGTGACTTGCAGTACGTCTTTAGGAGTTAGTGTGCGGACGTAGTGCTCCTTGTATTATTACCCCACACAATATAGTTCCCCTTTTTATCTGCTGAGAAAATCGACATGTTACATTTTGGTGTTACTATACTTTGTTGTGTAACACGTCACGTAACTGTATTTAAATATGGAACACGTGGAAGAGTTTGGTAGCTTCTAACGGGAGCTAATTTGGAACTATACAGTATGTGGAAGAGGCTCCGTTTGTGCTCCGTTTGCATGACAGAGCGCACGGACAAAGACCAGACAGGTACATATCAACTAGTCTAAGGTAAGGTAAGAACATATGTCAGTATGTAAAAACGGTGGCCTATTCCTTTAAGGGGATGATATTTTCTGGTGCTGCTGGTTTGTCCGCCTCTTTCTTCTGACTGTAAGAAAACATACCATAATATTTCATTAGTTTTGAGTATATCCTCACAATCCAGTTAAACTGTTCAATATTTAACTCATGTGGATGGATGGATGGACGGACGTACACTTCTTAATCTTCAACCTCCCCTCGAAGGCAGAAGAACCCTCTCAGCCAGGATAGAGACTTCTGGACAAAGTTTCTGTTTTTCTTGGGTGTTGTGGCACCTAAAGAAACAACCTCTATTGGTTAACGGTTTACATGCTGGTAATAAAGTAAGAAGAGTGACTCTTACCTAATGAGGGCTGGAGTGTTGTCTGGTCTTGTTGCATTGTTTTTTGCAACAGATGTTTCCATTTAAAGCTGAGGAGAGATATTTACAGTGGTAAATGCTTTTATAACGTCTCAAGATAAATAATGAATGCTTTGAATGTCTCACCTGTGAGACATCTGTAGGTCTCCAAGCTTCTCTGATGTCCCACATCCCTCACTGTAGACACATGATTGTGTTAGAGATTTCCACTGACCTAACAGCTGCCAACACTTCTTTAATCATTAGAACAGGAGAGTTTCCTCACCTAGTACCACAGTTCTGCTGGATCTTCCTAAGCGCCAGCACAGATGGAACCTCTGGGGTGACAGTTCGTGTCTTCTTTTTCTTTGGATTTTGAACATCCATCTTTGGCTTCTCTGCTGCCTGATTCTCAGCACTATAGAAAACATTTGTGTGATCACTTTTTGTACATAAGATGTACAGCAGGACAAAACAGTGTGTGATTCTTCCAAAACAGCTGTTCCAAACATTCAGTATCAGGCAATCAAAAAAAGCCACCCAAAAAGGTGGAGTGCTGGCTAACTTGGAGCTACGTATTTGTTTTTTTTGGCAAAAAAAGAAAAAGAATGTTGGGTTCTATATAGTTTTTAAATGAATGTATTTTGGGCCTCAAATATTTTTCTGACAGAAAAATGTAAGAGGACCCCTTCATTTACCCAATCAGCAGTCAGCCCTATTGACTTGATATGGAGAAATATTTTATGATATTTGTCTTTTGATCATTTCAGACCAAACACAATCTTTTTCTACTCATTACCTGTGGAGCACTTTGAAAACTGTCTGCAAATGTGCTATATAAATATAGGGGATTAGATTTAACTAAGTCTCACCTCGTCTTCGGTTTGTGATCCTGTATGGTGTTTTCTGCTGCGGCTGCTTTGACCAAAATGACCATAGGAGTTTTACGAGGAGACTTCTGCACCAGGTCAGCCTTCTCTTCAGGGATTGGTTTAGCCGTCTTAATCTTCTGACTGTAAACAACAACACAAACATAGATGAGTCCATCATTAACTTTGAGCATATTTCCAAATCAAGCAGAATTGTTTAAACCGGTTCAGCTGCTCAACGTTTAAACAGAAAACACAACGTTTCTTCATAACTTAATATGTGTATTTCTTCTTTTCAAAGAGAAGTTTAATATTAGCTTGTTAACATGTTTTGTTCAGAAGATGGCTCGCAGTTAGCAGCTGGCGTACCTAACTTTCAAACCACTATGTATCTAAGGTCCTCCTAACATACAGTATTGCGGTTTTATCACTAGTTCTCACATGCATGTATTTTTCAACGAATTCTTGGCGGAAACAGTTTGGTTCTATATAGTTTTCAAATGCATACATTTTTGGCCTTTTTTGCCCCTTTTGGCTTTTTCAGACAGAAAAGTGAAAAAGAGAGGACCACCCGACTCAGCCAATCAGCTGTCAGTCAAATATTGACTAATATTGCACCTTCTTACAAGTCTGCAAAAGATAACATATAAGATAAAGACAACACAGTGTAGTGCATTCAAGGAATAAACTGTTTTTTCCATTTAAGGAATATATAAAATGTATTTTATATATATTTATATAGATACACATATATTAGGGCTGGGCGATATAAACGGTATAAGCGGTATGCGATATAAATTTGGCCAACGGTAGAGATTTTTGTTATACTGGCATATTGCGGTAGGTCATTACGTCATCAAATGGCTGGGTTACACGCATAGACTGTATATATTAACGGACCGAGGCACACCTATCTCCTCCGTTCTAACTAATGGGCCAGAAAATGTGCTCTACTGGAGCTATCCAAAATGGCCGCGAGTGGTCCCGCCCACAAGAAAATGGTGAAAAAACGCATCTGCGCATGCGTCAGGCGGCGCAGCTCCATTCATTTGAACGAGAGACTTCAAAAAATTTACAGCAAGTAAACTAGAGTGGACCAAAAAAATCACCCCCCTCAGCATTGACACACATGTGGAACGGAGCTTTGGGCCAAGAGCCAACTTTTGGTCCATCCTGTAAAGACGTTTTCGAGAGGTCTGCCAATGCTATATGTTAGCATTAGCTAATTCTACTTCTGGGTCCACCCCCATCGGCCCGGGGTGGTATTGCAAGCATGTCAGCGCACGTCATTTTGGCCACTTTTGAGCTGGGACCCGCCCCCACTGGTTGCACGTGACGAAAGTTCTCAGAGAGACAGGAAGTACATTTCCCCACTAAGAACAATGTAAACATCCACTGATTCCGAGTTAAAATGCTCTTTTTCTGGGGCGTGTACAGTTGTGGCAACTGCTCATATCAAGTGGGGAACCTATGGAGTCTCTACTTTGCAAAAAAATATTTATCTAACGGCTGTCAATTTTTAGGAAAATGCCTAATAAGGAACGGGAGAAATGCGCCACAGAGATAGCTGACAGTCTTTACTTCGCTTACGTTCATAGATACAATGCAGTATTTTTGTGTGGTATACGGTTGTAGTAGCCTAGGCCACAGAAAGAAAGAACTGTTAAATACATTTTCTAATTGCAGCCCCCGTTGTTAGCTCTCTCACTGCTGTTAGCTTAACGCTATTAGCTTAACGCTACAGAGTTAAGCTCCCCCTGGAGCTCCGTACTTTTGGTTATTTACCATATATATATATATGTGTGTGTGTAAATAAAAGGCGTGGCATGTGCTATATAGCTATATAGATAAAGTGGATTGGATTGAAGTCTCACCTTTTCCTGGGTGGGTCCTCTTTCTCTAAGTGGATGATATTTTCTGGAGCAGCTGGTTTCACCAAAATGACCTTCGGAGATTTTGATGGACTTTGCAGAATGAGGTCATCCTTCTTTACAGAGACTAGTTTGTCCGCCTCATTCTTCTGTCTGTAAGCAAGCATACCGTAATATTTTGTTATTTTTGAGCATACATCCTCACAATCCAGTTAAACAGTTCAATATTTAACCAGAAACTAAGATAATTAAACAAAATGGCACGTACAGGGTTTCTATATCTTAGTGTTATTTTTACATTGTCTGCAATAAAAGCATTGTGGCCATATTTTAAAGATGTCTTTTGAGCTGAATAGTCTTCAAAGTAGCTGTTATCAAAGGGATAGACTATAACTTTTGGCCACTGATTCCTGGATGGCTAAGCCTGGCCTTAGCCATCCGTAAACTCAGGTCAATTATCATTTCCCTACTATGGAATGAGTATGATGGTGTGTTAAGACCAGGCTAGTGTTGATCTAATGCTTTTGAAAAATGACCCAACTTTTAAACAACACATGATTTAGAACAGACCAAATAAGACTCACCGTTTCTTCTGACGGTCATCATCCTGGAAGTCCACGATGTTTTTTGCAGTGGCCGGTTTAACTGAAAGGATTCGAGGCGTTTGTGAAGAACAATGTGGAATTGGGTCAGCCGTCAATTCTGTCACTGGTTTGTCTGTCTCATTCTTCGTGCTGTAGAAATCAACATAAAAATACAAGATGAGCTTGGACTGTCCTGTGTAACCTGTAGTGTTGTGGATATGTCCACTGTGTATGGAGCTATAGCCAAAGTTCAGACTGGAGGACTGCAATCCTCTGAACTCTTGGAATCGGATTGATAGACGCTCACTTACACCCACAATCCATTCAAAAATTACAAGGCTGCACGACATATCTTGCCCGAGTCATAACAAAGATGGCGTTGGTCCGAGAAGGAATGAAATATAGAAGTGGCCCTTTTATTCTGTTTTAAACTATGTGGATATTCTGCACAAGAAAACAGGATTGGACTAGTCTAATTGTCTAATAAATATAATACAAGAGGATTCCTATGGAATCCAGGATTTATCTGGTTCGTCTTCACTGTCGTCCTTGTCCCACTACTATGCACCTGTTCCTCTGCAAATCAACAATCAACTTGCGTGTCTGCATTTATAGTGCTTCACTCGGCTTTCAGCTCATGCTGCAATCATCATGCATCATGTAAATAAAAACCCAGGCTCAAACATGGATTAGGACCTAGTTTCTGTCCATACTGTGTCTGACTTATACCACATATTCTTGTATGAGTCAGACATAGTTAAAATGTCATCACTACTATCTTAGCTCTGCACTCAGACATATTGTACATCTGGCCCTAAAAGAGCTCTATCTATCTGACATGTCAGAAATACAATCCTCTTGAAACGGCGGGCAGACACTAAGATAATGTGCGCCCAGAGAGGGGGGAGAAGCTCATCCCCCAGGATCAACACAAGGGCCCACTACACTGTTGCAGTGGAGTATGACACAGTCCTAAGGGTTAGGGTGCTTCCTGATTCAGGTTGAACCAGGAAGCACAGTGACATGTGTGAAAACTCCCTAGACATGTGCAAATGGAGCGAGACTTACTGAATAAAAGGATGTTTGAGGATCTGAGCAGGAGTGATCCTCTGAGCAGGGTCCATGTGGAGCATCTGCTTGATGAGGTTAATGCATCCAACCAGCTCAGATTGTTGGTAATTCTCCTTAATAGACAAACAGGACTGGAAAAAGAGATAATTGTATCAAAAGAGAAATCATAAAAGTGATAACACATGGTAAACACACGACAGAGAGGACTTCTATAGAAATAGAATCAAGGTCCTTCATTAGCACTAGCATGGAAATATCAAATACAACTTGTTGAAAATAATTAGTTTGTATTGTAAATTCTATCATTATTGCCATATTGAAATAATGAAAGACCCCTAGCACACAACGCTTTGTATTATAATGTATTATAATTAATTATTTGATTATACAACACATACCTCAACCAGTGCATCCACAGAATCATATTTCTCTGTTTCATATGTCTGAATCACAGCAGACAATATTCTGGCAAAATCCTTATACTCTGCAATGGACTAAAAGAAAAGAGGATATGGATGTGTTAGCCTTAGCAGCAAAACAACACATACGTTTTAAGACATAAAAGAAAGACATTTACTTTTAACTTCCAATGCTCTTTGTCCTTTATGAAATAATTGTTGACTTTGACACCCTCGTCCAGAACGGCATCAGAAGGCTGACCAAACAATTTGACCATAGTCCTCAGCTAAAATATCAAGAAAAGTGTGGTTAACAAATATTTTTCGTCCAGAATGTTTGAATGTTTTTAGGCGACATTAGACTCACAGTTTCATATTCAGTCTTGCTGGGAAACAGATCAATCCTGATGAGCATTCTGACCAACAAGCAGCCCAAAGACCAGACGTCTATGGCAGGATTGAACGGGAGTCCAAGAATAATTTCAGGAGCTCTGCATTGAACAAATAAAAAAAGGAAATAATACTTGAATACTCATCACACTCGAATATACACTGGCTTGCAAAAGTAATAGTACATGGTGGAACCAAATACAGCAAACTGTTTTTACCAGGCCTAGTGTTACTAGGGCAAAGGTATATAATTTCAAACCTTTATTTATTCATTTTCATACTTTTTTCTGCAATATATTGATTAAACGGATCTTACTGAACACTTTAGTTTTACTTACTTACTTAACAACACAAAGACCACAGAAAATAAATGTGAAGTGAAGGCAAAACAATATTTCTTTACAATACAAAAACCTGAAAAGTGGGGCTTGCTCATTCCTAATGACTACTGAATGCTCACATCTCGCACTAACAATTAAAGCTGCACTTACTGACTTTGGGATTTTGAAGCAGCAGACCCGCTGGCCTCTCTCTTCCTGCTCCCCTCCCCGCACCCACGAAGCTATCGCCCCCCACACACACCCACTGTTGGGACGGAGCTAGTGTCTCTCAATATGGATAATACATGGATATGGATTTGCACGTGGATGGCGTGACCATAGAACGATAGAACCGGGAAGCGCGGAGGAACGAGACTTTCTTTTGGATGGCTGTCTTGCTGTGTAAGCAGTAACTGGTGACGAAGACGAGGAAACTTCAGGTTAGCTCCTCGGCTTGTTGTGCTAACTCAGCCGTCTATGCTAACGGACCTGTAGATTTCTCACGAAAGTGGGGGCCAGTGGTTCGCTGTGATTGGTCACAATCTGCGACCCGAAACACATTCTCTTCCTTGTTTCATCAAAACTCGATCTAAAATATAATGTCACGCCAGCACAAATCTGCACTACTTTTTCTTCAAAAGGACGTATATCCCAATGCCCTACACGGACATGGATAGCATTTTAGTAATTAATACAAAAATAAAGTCAGTTAGTGCAGCTTTAAATGGTGTAAAGTAATGTCTATTCTACTCTTAGTAAAAAAACGCCCCATTCCCAGTGTCAAATATGCTATGGCCTACTACGCTTTGGGCCTGTTTTCTGCTTGTTTTTAAAAACATCACAGTTGTCTGTTACTTTGTTGTGGTCTTTCAGAATGTTTGTTTGTGGTCATGAAATAAAAAATGTGCGAAGGTTCAAGTTGCATTGACACTTTTGCAATCCCAACATCGAAATACTATTCATCCCGAGGGAAATACATTATTTATTGTTTCACACAGTGGCCCCTACCTGTGACTGACATGCTGCACATTCATTCCAGGTTCCGCCTTCTTCCTCCGAACCACAGCACCAAAACCTGCCAGTTTGAAAATGGGCCTGTCTACGCCGCAGACCCAGATGTTTTCTGCCATGACACCGGTGTGGATGATGCCCCTGGACTCCAGTGCCTTTAAGGCCTCGGCCATCTGCAATAGTTTTTATATTGGCTCATAAAGCTTGTTTCAGGTTGTTCAGTTTGACAGTTGCTTGATGGTCTTACATGTCGGACGATGTACCGGATTTGGGCGAAGGCCAGAGGGCTCTCTATTTCCATGACTTCAAGTAAGCCCATGCGGAACTCCTCCATCACGATCACCTGCCCACAACTGGTGTCCCACGTCTCCAGGAACCTGACTAAGTTTTTGTGGTCCATGTCTGCCTCTGCAATTTTCTGAAGCAGCCGAACCTAAGTGGCAGAGGTGGAAAAAATGATAATTATAAAGAAGTATAAAGTGTAGATATGAAAGTAAAAAGTAAAGTAAAAGTACTGAAATCATTCCTGGACATTTTAAACAAAGTCTTTACATTTAATACAGCTTTCAGAAACTTACAGAGAATTTAATTTAAAAATCCCCGATGGACAAGAGCTAGTGAACTCTGTTATGGCAAGTTGGATTAGCCTCAAGGACGCCAACTCACCCCCCGCTGTTCTATTCAATTAACCTGCAGGAAGGAACCGGTCTCCCCCCCGCACCGACAGACATGACGCAAATTACTATCTCACCTTTGCCCCTTTTGCATTTTGCATCTCTATCGGTCCGTATGTCTGCATCTCTATTGTCCCTTTTACATTCTGCATGTCTATTGTCCCTTCTGTTGCATCTCTCACCAGAGGTGTGGACTCGAGTCATGTGACTTGGACTCGAGTCAGACTCGAGTCATGATTTTGATGACTTTAGACTCGACTTGACCAAATATAAAAAGACTTGCAACTCGACTTGGACTTTAACATCAATGACTCTGACTTTCACTTGGACTTGCGCCAATTGACTTGTAAAGACTTGCGTAACCCGGGCCATTTTTACCTTTCTCCGCATCTCTCTTTCTATCTATGCCGTCTCTGAAGAAACAAAGCCTCGCGGTAGTTGTAGCGCTCGCGAGAGAGTTCGAACGTGAGTTCCAGGCAGTTCGCGCAGCAACACTTCCCTAAACAAGCGGACTGCATTCACCGGTGGGTGTGTTGTCTAGGGGAGCTGGAAATGAGCGAGCTGCAGGTATTTATCGCGACCTAACGTCATATTTTGTTCTACAAACCGTAATTGATATGCTTTCACTACAGGCGCCTCATACAATTGAATCGACGCAGTTGTCACACTGTGTGCCGTGTTTTAAAGAGGAACTGGTGAGTCAAACTAGCGCTAGCCTGCGCTGCTCTGTTGGCTCTTTCTTATATTTTTCTGTGTGGGCGCCGAGGCCTATTATTATGAGTATGTTTTTGCTGTGCTCCTCCTGCTAAAGTTTGCATACATTAGATAGTTGTTTTGATTATGTGCACTAAGCTAGATTAATATTTGCACTATTGTTTATGGTGCATTGATATGAGAATCAGTGCTTTGACTGATTGAATTAATTTATATGAGACATTTTATTATGTAATGATATATTGGTAATTATGAGATATTGCTAATGCTGGTCCAGTTGATGGCGAGCTGCCCCAGGTCCAAAGCCTAGACCCCTCATACTACCCCTATTCTACAGTAGGACATTTGGAACAATAACCACTACGGACATTAAACTGATTATATAGATACAGGTCCTAGCCCAATACTCATATTCATATATGCTGCACTTGCTACTTCCCATTAAAAACCCCAAAGATAAAAAGTATGTTGACACGGACTGCTCTGATTTTATGTGTGGTCTGTGCATGTGTAACTGAGCCTGCATCTGGCACAACATCCAATTAGATCACGTAGATAGTTTTGATTTATCAGCAGCCAACAAACTGTTAGTCCATGGGTCAGAGACCAACGAGAATGCACCAGCAAAATGATTCCTAACATTATTGAGACCAACAAGAAACAAATCGCGGTCAAAAAGACTCGAGAGGACTCGAAAGTCAAACCGTAGGACTTGGGACTGACTTGAGATTTGTTGGCCTTTGACTTGGACTCGTCTTGACTCGTGAAGGAGAAACTCAAAGGTCCTTTGTCTGATCAAAAGCGTAAGTTTATTGTTAACGCACAGTGCGGAGGGCCAGCACATCCACTCAAAAGCAGCATGTCCCAGCTCTGGGGGCCAGAGCCCCCAGCTTCCTGTATACAAGGCACACACCAAAGATAGTCACGCCCACAACGGAGCGGAGGGGGCCACCGGTGAGGAGGCGCACAGGAAGCGCCGGCGCCATCCCCTGTGGTGGCAGTGGCATGGTGTGTGAACAGACAGACAATGGTGGAAATGCAGGTCATACAGATGCAAGACGGAAAGACACAAGGGTGTGACAGACAGCAGGGACCTTCACAAAGCTCAGCATGGCGTCAGAGGGTTGTCTGCATTGATAAAAGGCCTTTGACGTCCGTGTATTTGCTGCGGCTGGTTTTAATGTAATTACTCCAAAAACTGTCACCACACTCCCCTCTTCTGATAATTCAAAACCATTTTTGCATTAATCAGTTAAATACCAGAGGCATCGTAATCACACCACCTTCAAGCTTGAAACACTTAAATTATTGCTGTCCAAAGTGGACAAGAAAAGACACATGCTTGTCAATAAAAGAAAGAGCACATTATAATAACACAATGGATCCGGACAGCGATAAGAGAAGGCAATATTAACATAATAAACACGGTCAGCACGGAAAGTAGTGTCAGTGTGGCCAGCATAACAGTCCAAGGGCCCATGCCGGTCTAGCCGGTCTACGTTCGGTAGTCTTTTCCGCGGGAATACTCACGAGCAGTGCCGTCTCGCAGTCAGTGGCACCGCTCCCTATGAGCGTGTGTGGAGCGTTAGTGGTCATGGCGATGTTTGGTCTTGGAGCGGCAAGACTCTATTTGCGTTGAAGCCTCGGCCTCAGCACTCGGTTGGGCAGAGTGCTCGGGGTTTGGGGTGTGGCGACCATGGCTTGAGCACGCTCCAGATCGGCCAGGCCCAAAGCTCGTTTGATGGGAGACCTCATGACAGCACGCTTCACCATGTGCCTCATCAGGAACTGTAGAGCAGCCCTCATCTCCACCTCCTCCGGACACACGGGAGACGAGACACCAGGGGGCACTCCAGCAGAGCTCCAATCTGCATTATGGCCAGAGGGAGCAGGCTCTGGAGAAATCTTTGGACTGAGCAGCAGCTCTGCATACTTGCTGCGGCTGAGCAGAGCGCTCAGGGCCTTCATGGCTCCCAGGCCTTGGGGTCCGGGGGCTGGGGAGTTGGGCAAAAGGGGGGTCGCCTCGGGAACGCTGGGAATCTCTGGGTGTTGTTGTTGGCCTGCTTCACCGACGGTGGCCGCACGCCGGCCGACCTCTTCAGCGTAGGGAGCCGCGGATGGGCCTGGTCCGTCCGCGCCCTCGGTGTCCTCGTCTATGGCCCTCAGTGGCAGCCCCGCACGACAGTGGTTGGCGTGGATCCAAGTTGTCCTCTCCGCGACCTTAACGGCAGTGTCCGTCACCAGGAGGGCGAGGAATGGGCCGAGCCAGCGCTTGGACCGCCAATGCTTTCGTCTCGTTTCCTTCATCAGGACCCAGTCGCCTGCGCAGCCTGTGGCAGGGCGCTCCTGACCTGGGCAGAAATAGAGGACAAAAAGTGCATTAATTTCCTTACAATAGGACAGCATGTCGTCATCACACAAAGAGGTGCTTGGCAGATCTCTGTTCGGGGGTCCCTCGCCCAAGTTGGGTGGTCTGGCACAGAGGATTTCGAATGGGACTCTCATGCGCATGTACATGAGGGCTAGCGGCAGAGCTTTGAGTGCCATTCTCTCGCTCGCACGCGCCTCCGGGCCAGGGGGCGTAACTGCAGTGTTTACGTATATCAATGCCCAGAAATTCACCCACTTCCTCAATGACTTTTGCTACAAAGTGACTGCCAGTGTCACTAGAGATTTTTTCTCGGGGCACAATTTTTGTGAGCAGAGCTTTCACCACCGCGTTGCTTGTGGCGTGTATGCCTGCAAATACTTCAGTCCATTTGGACCAGAGATCCGCCAGAACCAGACAGTATTACTTACCTTGGCATGGTGTGAGTTCAACAAAGTCCCTTTGGACATGTTGAAATGGGCGCAGGGGCGGAGGATGAGCAGCCTGTTGGATACTTTTGGGACTTACCTGGGTTGTGCGCGGGGCATATAGCGCATGTTTGGCTGAATCTCTGTGCAAATGCCGTAAACCCCTTTGTATACCAATTTTGTGTGATTAAATCACACATCATCCCTCCTTTTGAGGCATGGTCTCGACCATGTGCTAAAATTGCAAACTGTCTGAAGAAATGCCGTGGTAGGCACGGTTTGCTGTCTGGTCCCAGCCACACACACCATGCCGTCGTTGAGCCCCATTCCCCTCTCACAGCAGCGTCTCTGCTGGAGTAGAAAATATCAACGTCTTGAGTGAGGTAGTGTGTGTGTGTGTGTGTAGAGGTGCGTATGCCGCTGCCTTGTCCGCGCGCCGATTCCCTGCAGAGATGGGATCAGTGGCATTAGTGTGGGCCTGGCATTTGCATACAGCGATCTCTAAGGGCAACATTACAGCTTTCAGCAGACGTTCAACCTGTGTGGAATTAAGAATTGGTTTACCATCAGATTTCATAAAATTGCGGTGTTTCCACGGTGCTTCCCAGTCGTGCACCACAGAGAAACCATAGCGCGTATCACATAATATGTTGACAGTTTTGCCCGCTGCCAGCTCACACGCCCCGGTGGGCGCGACCAGCTCAGCGGTTTGTGCTGAGTGGTAGTGGGGCAAACTACCAGAGTCTATAGTATCAAAATCAGAACACACAGCATAGCCGACTCGGTTCTTCCCAGTGTTGTCACGTGACGCCGCTCCGTCTGTATAAAAAAATCAAGTCAGGATTAGTCAGAGGCACCTCTTTCAGGTCTGGCCTGGGAGTGCATATCTGTTCTATTGTGGCGATACAGCAGTGTGCCTCCCCTTCCTCTGGCGTGAGCAGCAGCGAGGAGGGGTTCAGCTGTGTGCATCCCTTCACCGTAGTTCAAAGAGCACCGTGTTGTACCCCAGCCAACGAGCCGCAGAAAGGCGAGAGGCCCTCTGCTCTAACAGGATCAGGGAAACAGCATGGGGCACAAGCAAAGTTAGTTCAGTGTATCCCACAAGGTCACGTGATGCTAGGGCCGCTTTCTCAGCGGCAGCCACAGCCCGCAGGCAGCGAGGCAACCCTGCTGCCACGGGATCGAGTTTTGCTGAGAAGTAAGCAGTGGGTCTCAGTGGCCCTCAGTGAGGCTGCAAAAGTACCGACTGTTCCGTTCATCTCCAGTTGCTTTTCTCCCGGATCGTCCTCAATTCATATTGTGGGCTTTTGTGCCAAAGTAGGAGGCTCATTTCCTCATGATCCATACTACTGTCATCCCTGGAGCAGGGGTAGTTTATCTCTCATCTGAAAAAGAAATATTAGAACACAAAAAAAAAAAAAAAAAAAAAAATGCCCACTTTCGCTTGTCAATCTTTTTCCAATTGGGCAAAACATAACTGCATTGACAGACGGTGTTTGGCATCAGGGCGGAGGCTGTAGCAAAATACAGACTTAACAAAATGTATGTTTCTAATTTTATACTTCCCTAAATGTGAGTTTACAAAAAGTTGTCCTTCAACCCAACGACAGCTCACTGCGGTTGGACTGTGTCGCTGTCAGGACAAACAGCAGAGGGAGGAACTCCCAATATCTTCAGCGAGGTATTTCATCTCCGAGTACTTCAGCAGAGTACTTTTCTCAGAGTACTCATCCCAGAGTACTCTCACTTTTACACCTGTTCAATAAAGCTTGTTATCTTTGAATCTCTAGTACTTACACCGTATGCTGCTGACAAAAAACAACCATTCCATGATCACATTAAAACATTACAGACACATTTGTTATTCCATGATTCCGTTCAGCATTCCTCATTTCACTCCTTATTTCACACATCACACTCATATCACGTCACATCACAGTCATATCACAGGCCGATTCCCCACGTTAGTATTTTGGTCCAGTTTGTTAAGGTCAGCGTAGTGTACTTTGACATGACACACAAACATATAACATACACAAAACATATAACACACAAACATGTAACACACACAAACACATAGACAACACAGAAGGCCTGTAATTTTAACTTTGTTATATTTTTCCATGTCCAATTACAATTGTCTCATGAGTTATTCCTATTGTTGCAACTTCCAGAGCCTGCAGAACATGCAAAGCTTTTAAGAGATTTTTCCTAAAAAAAAGATCCATTTCCAACTTTAGTGTTTACCACGTGGTCTGTATTTCGGGCTTATCACAGATGGTGTCCCCTATATCTCTAATGAGCTCTTGTCACCTAAAAAAATGTTTATTTTCCTTATTTTTTTTTTTTTTTTTTTTTTAATAAAGCCAGGTCGGATTCATTAAAAATGTAAATTAGTCTCAAACTTTAATACTTCACCTTTGTTTCACGATAAAATGTTTTTGTTGCTCATTAAGTAGCACAGATAGTGGTGCCTATCTCAATAAACGTACTCCGTTAGCCTATCTTCCCTACACTGCATGAATTTTCAAACTCCAAGTTATTGTCTGGGAACGACCGGAGAGAGCAGCTTAGGTCGTTCGCGTGGTTGACCTCCAAATTTTGTGCGGGCGTCACTATCCACTTGTTGTGGCTAATAACTTAGCAATCTCAGGGTTTGGTGTCAATTTCCAGTGGTAGTTAACTTTTGGGACCGGTGCCTCCTTTTATTTATCTATTTTTAATTGAGTCTGCACATAAGGTCTCGGCCTAGTAGATTAACCGGGGACAATGGGGAATATAGAAAAGAATGTTTAAGCTGGTTGCCCTGAGAATCAAAACACGTTAGCGGTGACGTAAATTGCTCTTTAGTCGTCTCTCCGACGCTGCTAATTAGAATATGAAGCGGCCGCTCATTTTAGGGGAGACAGAAAGGCTGTCACTTTTTAGCACAGAATTTGTTGCCCCGGAGTCAACTAGAAAAGTAACATTTTCGCCACAAATTGTTAGCGTATGTTACGGGAATTCAGCATGAATTATCTCTAAAAAGTGCCAATTGCAATTTGTTGTTGTTCAACTTACATGAGCGGTCGCTTTGGTGACGAATGTGAACCCAGGTTTGGTCAGTCGCTCGTGTTTCCTCCGTGCCCGCCTCTGCCGTCCTCTGGCCCCGTGTGAGCTTGAGAGGCCCTCTGCCTTTAACGCCTCCTCCGGTAACAGTCCTTCGACCCATGTCGAGCACACAGTCTTTCCGCCGGGCTGTGGAAGTTTTTCAAAGTCCGCAGGAGGCCCAGGTAGCCCAAGCGTTAGCATGTGGTCCATGAGGGTTGGTGAATGACCCAAACGTGCCGGTACTTTTGGCTTCTTCTGTTTGCGGTGCGGGAACAACTTTCAAGCGGGTTTCCGCGGGTGCGTTTGGTATATCACGCTGCCCCCTCCGTGGAGAACAGTCACGGGATTTGGAGCAATTTCTCTCTGTGCTCCAAAGCAGTTGTCGGTGTCTCACATATTTGCTTCCCCCGTTTCTTCTTCTGTGGTTTCCTGAGCGTGTGTCTGTTTCCGCCTCTTCTTCTTCTGCGGTTTGGGCCCACTTCTCGCGGGGTCTCAGCTGGTGCGGGCGCCGCCTGTGGTTGGGGCGTGGGGCTGGTGCTTTGAGGCAGAGGACAGTGCGCGGAGGAAAGGCGCCGACAGACCTGGATAAGGGAGAGGAAGAGGGGACAACAGTAGTCTGCTCATTTTTTAAAAACCCAACGCCTTGTTTGGGTGCACACTTATTGTTAGTAGGGGAAAAAGGGGCGGTAGGGTGGGGGTGTGGGGGATGTGTGTGTGTGTCCGCCTCTGTGTTCTCCGCTTCGGTGAAAGGCGGAGGAGCTATTGTTTTTACATATTTCTTTCTCTAACCTCTTTTGCCGTGATATTCTTAAAACCAAGTATATTTTTTCTTCCCTTCTTCTTCTAAATTATCACGCAAGATGCGTAATGGCCTGCACCATAGGCAAGCACTCCATAGCTTGCATCTCCTAGATTGTTTTTTACCCATTTTCTCGTACGAACAATGGGCCTAACCCGCTTAGTCTCTCCCTGCTCCTACCCACTTTGGGGCGCTCCATTCCCCCCTCGCTGGTTCAACCAGCGAGCGCGCGTTCTTGAAATGGAGCGGTTCTGGCTGAAGACACTTGGAGAAATTTTCAGGGTCGCCTACAGGACGATACTAACGCGCAGCCGCTAGTTTTCAATCTAGAACAAAAAGCCCCCCAAAAAATCCCGCACACAGACTATGCTGTGGCAATGAATGAAATACCCCAAAAATACATAAATAAACAAATCCCCGTGTACACTTAAGTGCTGCCCTGGGCTCGTTACGCAGATGAAAAGACAAGACTCACCAGATTAGGTTCTTTTTGGTCTTGTGTGGCAAAAGGATTCCTTCCGTGCGTGGACGAGCGCGCTCTCCTTTGTCTCCAAAAAGGAACAGAGGCTGGTGATCCAGGTCGGCCAAACAAAGCCGCTCGTCCCGCCGAAAGTATCCCATGCCAAGACATGTCAGCAACGCCAAATTGTTATAGAATTATATACCCCATGAAGGAGGAAACTCAAAGGTCCTTTGTCTGATCAAAAGCGTAAGTTTATTGTTAACGCACAGTGCGGAGGGCCAGCACATCCACTCAAAAGCAGCATGTCCCAGCTCTGGGGGCCAGAGCCCCCAGCTTCCTGTATACAAGGCACACACCAAAGATAGTCACGCCCACAACGGAGCGGAGGGGGCCACCGGTGAGGAGGCGCACAGGAAGCGCCGGCGCCATCCCCTGTGGTGGCAGTGGCATGGTGTGTGAACAGACAGACAATGGTGGAAATGCAGGTCATACAGATGCAAGACGGAAAGACACAAGGGTGTGACAGACAGCAGGGACCTTCACAAAGCTCAGCATGGCGTCAGAGGGTTGTCTGATTGATAATGGCCACTGTTGTAGGTGTCGGGGGGGGCCGGCTCCTTCCTGGATACAGGGACTATGACATAATGAATAGAATACAGGCAGGGTGAGGCTGCATTGATAAAGGCTCTCGCCTTTTTTTCTGCTCTATGGCCGTAATCCCCGCCTGCCTGTAGATCTGTTGTTTGGTTTAGCTGAGGCAGGAGAAACATACTCACCTAAGGGGTATGCAGAAAAATGGGCCGAGCGCATGTCAGAGGCATACCGCATTGCTAGTGAGAACAGTAAAAAATCTAGTGCAAGAGGAAAAGTGACATATGACAAGAAAATAAAAGGTGTGGTACTACAGCCAGGAGACAGAGTTTTAGTCCGTAATCTCAGTCAACGTGGAGGGCCCGGCAAGCTGAGATCCTACTGGGAAAAGACTATTTATTTAGTCAAAGAGCAGCTTGGCCAAAATCCAATATATGTTGTTCATCCTGAGAATGGAGAAAGGAAAAAGACACGCACGCTACATCGTAATCTCCTGTTGTTAGTAAATGACTTACCTGTTGAAATCAGTATACACTCTGAACGACCTAAAAATAACAATCCAAGAGCAAGCAGAACAAAAAGGAGAGTTGTACAAGCACAAGAACAGACCAAAACCAGTGATAACTCAGAAAGTGACTCGGATGAAGAAAGTTGTGTTGGATACTGGTTGAGAATACCGGCTGAAAGGTCTGTACAAAGACAAAACATTGAAGAGCAAACCTCGTGCCAGCCAAGTACAGCGTTAGGATGTGCAAGAGAACCGCCAAACAGACAAACTAGACACTTACCTGAGAGAACACCTGTTGAGGACACACCAGCTATGCTCCCACACCCATCTGATGGAGAAGAGACCGAGGATTCATCTACTGCACCTCTCATGTGTGAGGAGGTGTTGGAGGATGAAAGTGCCTTTGCCATGCCTGAGGGAGAAGGACCCGGGGACAACGCAGCATCTGACCCAGTACAGAGACTGTCTACTCACCCGATAGACCACACCGAGGTTAGGAGGTCTGCACGAGATAGAAGGCCACGTCATTTGTTCACTTATGAGACACTAGGTCAGCCTTCCTTGTATACGCAGGGAACAGTTAATTTAGTTGATGGAAACGTACCATATTTTCCTGTTCCTCAGAACTACCCAGTTATGACTTACATGCCACCTATGTATAGGCCATACTACTTTGGTACTTACCCACCACCAGTTTCATACTTACCTTATAATTACCAGACACCCGGGGTGTGTGTTGCATAAACTTTTGAGACTTTAAAGACAATTGAAAATGGGTTGGAATGGTTTGGTGTTGTAGAAATATTTACTGAGGAAATGTAATATTTTTGTTCATGTCGGGAGCCATCTTTTCTTTTGTCAGGGAGCGTGTGACGCCCACTATGTGTGGTCACATTATTCCGTATAATTAAATAAATTTAAAATAGATAGTATTGACGCCTACCACTAGAGGGCAGTGCTGGTAAGGAGACAGTTTTAAGGCGCCCGCTCCTGTTTCGCGTCAGTCGGCAAGCAGAGAGCCTGGAGGGAAGTTGAGTGTGACTGTCTCTTTTCTTTTAATTTCAGTTTCAATCCCAATCCTTCCCCAAATAAAAAAATAATAAACTGTCAGCAGATATTGTACCGGCCGATACCTGCAACATATAGTCAGCTCTCAGCCGTCACAGTCACAGGGCTCATCACACAAATACTAGTTTAAGAAGATAAAAATAGCATGTTGTTGTTTTTCTTCTAAGTGTATTTCTTAAATTTGTAAATATCTCTTTTTTCATCTGTTCACAATAAATATATTATAATGTCATACATTATTGAAGTCTTTCTTTTTATTGATCATATTTCAGGGCAAACAACAGTAGTATTTGACAAAACAATCTGTATAGAAAATAGAGTTTCAGTTCAGTGCCAATCAACGATATGCCCACTATACGCGGCTGGCCCCCGCGGCCCGACCTTGCCTAGCTTCCGAGATCAGACGAGATCGGGCATTCTCAAGGTGGTATGGCCGTAAGCACGGGGGTATGGAGCAGCGTGCCTCCTGACCCTGCTGCTGCGGTCCTCTCCTCCCCCAGAAAGCCAGAATGAGCGCTCAGGCCTTTACAAAATCCGGGTCTACAGTGTGCTGACCCTGATTAGCATTTGTATAGCTCACAGCATTGCCATTTACATGTTAAAGCCTCCTGTGGAGGAGGGAGGAGGGGACAACAAACTACCGTCAACAGCCGAATCCCAGAAGTTTCACAGTAATATACAGGGCCGAAAAGAGACAAAAATCACACTTTTCATGCAGTGATTGCAGTGATGGGCAAGCTACTTGATTTGTGTAGTGAGCTAAGCTACAAGCTACTCTACAATAAATTCAGCTTCACTACACAGAATCTACCACCCATACGAATGTAGCAAGCTAAGTTACAAAATTCTGTCAAAAGTAGCTTGCTATATAGAAGCTATTTTCAATTAAACAAACTGCAGTTCATGTGTTAGTATTAGATAGCAATATGGCCTACGTGCAGGACTCTACAAGGACTCCATGTTATGACTATGATTTGACTGTCTCTTTGTGACACGCATGTCTTTCGATGTGTGACGTGACAATGACTATATAAACTGTGTACTGCCTTTATTCTGTCTGAGAGAAAGAAACAAAGGAAACCATTGGAACTTGAGAGAAACTTAAATAAACTTCCAGAGTTTGGCGCACCACGATCCGTCTCTGTCTGCTGAATCCTAACACATGCAATTTTATATTTTCCTGCATTAACATGTTTTCTCATTTCTTATTTTTTGCACAATTCTTGAGTGTTTTATCCATGCCAAATGTGACATGTAAATTTCTCCTGTGTGAGATTAATAAAGCTTATCTTCTTATTTGAGATAAACTGTCAGTCAGATAAAGGTTAAATTTTTTTAGATATTTATTGAACAATAGCCCAAAACACCAAAAACAACAAAGAGTAGGCATCTGAAAACATATTTCTTTTCGCTCATCTCGACTAGAGTGACGTACTTTTGGAGGTATGGCCACGGTACAACACTTTGAGAGTCCTTATCATGGTCCTCCTCCACCGCGGCGGCTCCTGGGCTCTCTGCCATGCTTTTGCTTCCCCCAGTAGCGCGCGCGCATGTGTGTGCGTGTGTGTGCGCGTACGTTCGTGTGTGTGTGTCGTTACCAAGCCCTGCGCATGCGCATCAGCATTCTGTCTTTCTATATGTTTGTTTTATGCTGCGGGAAAATGCTGTAATATATGAACATCAGAGATGTCCGTGAGAAAATAGCTTTGGCGGACGCAAAAATAAAAGCAATGTAATTATACATAGTTTATGCAAAATAAATAAGCAATTGATGTCCAAAATAGGAGTGGGAAGAATGGATGTTGGAACGTATTTCTTCAGCGTATCAACATCAGGGTTTGCTCAAGAGGATATCACCTTTCAATTTTATTTATTCCCTATTTTTTAGACAAACATGTAAAAGTTCCACATCAAAAAGAGACTAACATTATTTTAATTGGGGTACATGTGGTCTTAAATGATTATTTTTACAATTAAGCTATAATCTGCAAAAAACGTCTTGACCTTCATCTTTTACCGTTTTTAGAGCAATCTGTCATAGAATGTGATAACATGCAATAAATACAAAAAGACATAGCCCGGAATCGAACCCGGGTTCGTGCGTCGTAAGCGCACAGTTTAGGCCACTAGACCACCGATTCACACGAATGGAGACACTGTGAAGAACGGAGTCAAACTAGAAAATTCTGCATCACACGTGAACTTTTATCAGCTGTCTCAATTGTTCAAAGGCATCCCGATATAAATCCTCGTTTTAGTCTTTGTTTTGTCATTAATGATTTGAGAGTCATAACAAGACCTTTTTTAGTTCTGCGCCACATGTGTGCGTCACTAGGCAAAACAGGTTTGCACGCAGTCTTATACCTGAGCGTTTAAGTCGTTGGCAGAGCTAAAGCGGACTTAACCTGCCACCTTGTGGCGATAAGATGTAATATTTTTCACGCAGCTGCGTGATTCCCGAAAAGCGTGAATGAAGACGACAAAACGAAATGGGACCTACTGTATGTTACTTTTACAAGACTTCCTGTTGAAACAAAGAAAGATGCATTATTAATAACAAAGCCAAAAACAAATGATCAAATTCAGAAAATAAACCCCTTTCCTCATCTGTCATTACTCTATGAAATGGTTTTTTTGGGGGGTTTTTGCCCTGGAAAATCAGAGGTTTGGTACAAAGATAGAAAATACAATATTATGCTACTTTGATTAAATTAGATGTCACTAAGGTCATCAAAAAGATGGGGATAAGGTTTATGCCATACAGTATAATACCGAATTCATAACATTTTACTTAAACATTTACAAATTTAAAGAGATATTTGTTTGCTGAATTTGTCAGTAGCAAATATCTTTTCAGTTCTACAACTAAAAATATGACCAATTGATTGTGCAATCTCAGTGGGACTTTCCTGGTTACACAAGAAAGACAAGGAAGGAGGTTTTATTGCTGATATCAGAGGCAGTAAGCTTTCTCCTGCATTCATTTATGTCTTCTTACATATATTCTCTTCAATGCCCCCTGTCTGTTAATCCTCCCCAGCCCACAGACTATATGCCTGTCCATCAACGTTTTGATCCGACTCTGGCTCCTATTGACTTCCTTGTCAAATTCCTAGCTCAATAACCATTTTGGGCTTAAGATATTGTCTTTTTTAAATCCAAGTAGCTCGAACAACCGAATCCTTTTGTCACAAAATTTGGCTTTCACTAGTACAAGATATGCATACAGTTGGCTCTACATTCCTGCTCAGTCTGTTTAAGCCAGTTCTAGGCAAGGCTAACACTCGGTCAGTCTGATCCTAATTTACAGTCTATGCTTTAGCCCTGTGTGTCTTACTGAATAGATGCACTGTACAGTCTTCTAAAAGTTGATTTTGATTTCAGGCGACCCCGCGCAGAGCTCAGCGGCCTTTAGACGACTCACCTGGACACTGGACGGTGGACGACGGCACTCACTACATGAGCCAAGTCTGACGTTCACCAGACTGTTACACTAAAACCACTTGAACTCTTTCCTCATGTGTTTACAAGCATTTTTGAAGTTGCTTTTTTATCTAATATAGCAAAACAATCTAACAACGTATATTTATATAAAGAGATCATTTGTATTTGTAACTGTTTTGTGAATGTGTCGCGAGAATTGTGGTGCATTTGTCCAAATGACGCAGACACCTGAACATGATTTTTTTTGTCTGAAAAATAAAAATATATATTCACTTGTAATCTTTTTTTGGACTTATTGATAAAAAACAGTTTTAAGGAACGTTTATGATATATTTAGCAAAAAACTGTGGGAGAAAAAGGAAATTACAATTCATTCTGGTAAGCCATGCTCCAAAGTTCAGATAACCTCTACATATGTTTTATTATTTTGTTCCGGTATAAAACAAGACCTATGTGAGGTCTTCAGAACCCTTTCCAAAAACTATTTGGTTTAGAATGGACTTTTTCGTGTTGACTGTATTAGGATTCTATGTACAGACTACGGTCAATGCATAATAAGTAACTATTGAAATCTTAGCACTGAAACATGTTTTTGTACTTTTATTTTATTAATATAAAGTTACATACTAAAGCTTCAGTAAAATCTGTTTTTTCAAAACCATCAAATAGCACTTTACGCTGTAATCCTTTAACATGAAGTCAAGATGAAGACTGATAATCAACTCATATTTTGGATAGTGGGCTTTTCTGCTTTTCTCACAGAACACATCTTCCATTTATTTATTTTGTATATATTCTGCATTTCATTGGCCACCAACCACCAGGCCACGGGTCAATCGGTACCTGGTCGCACAAAAGAATATAAAGTAAATTTTACTTTTGTCGTTAGACTTATGAGAAACAAATATGATAGACTCCTTACATGCAAAGTGAGATATTCAGCCTGTATTCGTTATGTTGATCATTGGCTCACGGCTTTTAAAACCCTGAATAAAACATTTCAGAGAATTTAGTAAATGGACTAAGCCATAATCATCAAAATGATAACAAACGTATACGTCACATATATGACTTTCCATGTAATAAGTCTATATCAAATACTGGTTTCAGATTTTAAGTTGAATTACATACATAAATGAACTATTGAACCAATATCCTTCCGAGATTGACCTTTGAGAGTAGTCACAGACAGTGGTTTAATTATATGCACTTTATAAAATATCTGTCTTTGTTGTATGTATCCATCACATTTGAAATATGGCTCTTTTACAGTCATGTGACCAATGTGCATCTGGTCGCCACACTGAGGAGATTGCAGATATCAAGCAGTCAGCGTGCATACTTTTTTGGCAAAATAGACATTAAAAAAAAAGAACAAGAAGAAAGCTCACTGGGTGAAACTCAAGGTAACCTCTATTAGCAGTGTAGCGTTATATTCATATGAGTTAGCCGCCAAAGCATGGTCAACTGACCCACAACGGTTTCCACCAACAACAAATATGATTGTTGTTTGCTATCTTGTGATTGGAGTCGGTGCATATACATTCGAAGAGTTCAGAAATTACAAATCTCTAGATGCTAATGGACTTTTTACTAATGGTTGGGTACAAGATGTATGTTAATTTCAACCAGAAAGCTCTGCTAACACCATTATCACAGCAAAGGTAAGATACCAGTATTATTCACTCTTTAATCAAACAAGTACTGTACTTTTATATGTCACTGTATAATATTTGCATAAATATACATTTATATATATTATGTATTAAATATACACATGAAGACAGTTCCTGAGCAGGTCGTTTGTTGGCAATGAAACGCGATTGCTGTCATCCCCTCAATACGGCACTTGATCCCATGAGTGACGTCATTCCATTGTCTGCATAAATCCAGTCTATGGTACAAAAAAGGTTTGGGGACCACTGATGTATTTGATTGGTCTTGAACTGTGAGAGCTGAACCTGAATGGTCTTTCACATGTGCATTTTGATGTGGATGTCCAGGTCCCGTGGCCTGATGAACCCTTTACAACAGAAGGGACACACGTGGGGCTTTTTCCCAGTGTGGATTTTCATGTGCGCATTGAGAGAAGACTTGTCTGTGAATGTCTTTTCACACGTGGAACAGTTGTAAGGTTTTTCCCCCGTGTGCGTTCGTCTGTGTATAATTAGCGCCCCCTTTTGGACAAACGTTTTGTTGCAGACTGGACAGCTGTGTGGTCTTTCCCCGGTGTGCGTTCTTACGTGGACGTCCAAACCGTATTTGCTCCGTAATCTCTTTTTACAAATGCTACACTGGAATCTCTCCTCGACTGTTTTTTTGGTTGCCGGCGCTGTGCTGTAAGGATTCTCTCCGGTGAGAATTCTTATGTGATTTTGTAAATGCTGTTTTCTCTCAAATTTCTTATTACAGACGTTGCACTGGAATTTTTTCTCGCCCGCTTCTGGTGGTGTTTCTGAATTGTCCTCATGGATTACAGACGCACTGGTCTCCATTTCGGTGGCTTCTCTCTTCACACACAAAGCTATGAACTCTGGGGAACACCTGAAAAGAATGAGATGGCATTAAAAAACATCTCAAAGGTTGTTGAATTTCACTTGATCAACCCTGGAGAAACTCAGAAAAGTCAAACGAGGAAAGACACGAAAGCATAAGAAATACAGATGCCTCCCATAATGGCTTAAGTTGTGAACACCTTTATATGGTTTTATACAGTATAATACCATTTATAATACCATACCAGCTGGAATCTCACTTCTGCCCCTTCGCCCTTTGGCCTTAGCCTTACCGGTAATTTGTGATTTCAGATCACAAATGAAAGACAAAAGGGTAGGAGGAGTTTCAACCATAAACTGTAGACTGGCATAGATAGATCACCATAGGAGAAATTCAGGCGTCCAGTAGCAGCAAAAACACATTCATCCACACAAACAAAACAAATAAATTGATCATTCTAAAAAGCTAACAATTGTAATAATATAGCCAACAGCACTTCAGGTCACAGCAGCAAAGGTGATATTGCTAAATAAGTAGATTAGAGCTAGCTCAAACAGGCTATTTAAGTGAGAATCTGGAGATCCTAAGGTCTCCAGATCTATGTTGCTATCCACTCAGCCACCGTGGGCGGCACGGTGGCTGAGTGGATAGCACTCTCGCCTCTCAGCAAGAAGGTCCTGGGTTCGAATCCCGGTTGGACCAGGGCCTTTCTGAGTGGAGTTTGCATGTTCTCCCCGTGTCTGTGTAGGTTTCCTCCGGGTGCTCCGGTTTCCCCTACCACTAAAAATATGTACAATAGGTCTGGCATGTGCCTCCTGTACTGGCGCCTCCTGTACTGGCACCCCCACTCCCAAAAATAACAATTGTAAACCGCCTTGAGACTCTGATGTGCAGTGAAAAGGCGGTATATAAATAAAGATTACTTACTACTAATAAAGATTACTAAGGACCATGTGTGCAACTAGCTGTAAGCTATACGGCCTATGAACATAGCATCGGTTCCTGTAACCGATCATCTTGTTCTGTCCCTATCAAATACAAGTACAATATACATATATGTAAATACTTTTGAACCAAGTGCAATTATAGCCCCAGAGTTTATTTTATTCTTCATCTTATTTTAATTATATTGTCTATTATCTTAAATAATAGACTCAATTTGATGCTTGTAATCTGAGTGGTCTTATTTCCTTCTTTCTCTGCTGTAATGTGCGCAACGATGACACTGAAATCTATCTTATCTTAAATAAACACATAATAAAATAAATAATTAGCAGCGGGCTGGTAAGTTCGCTCATAATACTACCTAGCTAAAGTCGAATTCAGGGATAGAAGGTTCCTGATTGGTCAGTTAATATGGTTCGTATCTGGACAAAAGTCCAGTAAAGCGCCTTGGGTGACCTTGGTCTGTAAAATGCGATATATAAATAAACATTACTTACATACTTACTTACTAACTATCTATATATACACCAGGATAATACAGAGTGTAATTGTTATGCCAAAAAGGTTTAGTGCGACACAAACAATCACTAAGCATTTCCTAATTTGGGCATTTTCTATAAGACTGTAGAAGTGTTGTTTATTTGAGTGATTTGAGGCATTCATTTGCCTGATTTTACAAAAAGATTGTGTTTCATGTCAAATAATTGATTACATCTAATTGAAAGCCAGTTTGAATTTGATGGTAATAGTCTTGTGGCGCCCTAGTTTAGTGTCCCACCCCCACCCTTGAGTTCAGGGGTGTAAATGCTTGAGTCATACTCTTGTAGCTGCTCTTCTTTAATCGCTGGAGTCTCTGGGATTTCCTGGTTCAGACAGAGGCCTGGACTCTGGGAGGACATCAGGACATCTGCAGGAGACCAGTTATTGTATTACAATAGTAACTGGTGTATTAAACGAATTACGGTGTTGTCACTTGAATCATTCTCGTGTCTTAAGACTCCATATCCTAAACCCCAATATGAAACTTTCAATTTATTTCCATTCACTTTATTTGCATTCAATTTATTTGCGTATAGCTCAAAAATAGCAGTCGAATGACTTTATAAAGTTGTCAGTTCACCAACAACAAATCAGAGAATCAAATCGCTCAAACATAGGAAATGCAATCATTATTATACTTATCATTTAAAAACTTTTACCAAAGACTAAAAGGTTTGCCACCTCGGATACAAACAGACAAAAATAAAAAGAGTACTTTGCAGCTGTTTGGAAACAAGTGAGACTTGTTTGGTGCTTTCACATCTCCAAAAATCAACAATAAATCGCTCAAAGTGAACTCTGGTCACTTTGAGCGATTTATTGTTGATTCATACAGGCCATTTAAACTCCTGATTTCTCAAGAAAACACAGCACCTTAAACAATGTACTAGACTGTCTGTTTCAAATAGTCATTCAATTAAGAAACAAGAACTCTAAACTGTAAAAAGAACGATGCAAACATGTGTCAATGTGAACTGCTGAGGTTTCATTGCATTAATAGTGTCCAGCGGCTAAGTTCATGAAAGAAAATATAATGACAGTATTTATCA